TGACCTTATTGAACACCTATTATTTCACTCTATGAAATAGAATTGTCCTATTGAAAGTCTACATTGGTATGTTTTAAAAAAAGTTAATCATAGTCACGCTAACCACCCCCACTTCCTGTCAAGACAGTTCATTTAGGCCACAATGGTTCCAGTTCTTGGGGAATCTGGGATTTTAAATGGGTAATCAGTCAGGACTAACAGATAGGAAGGAAGGCAAAAACCAGATATATGAACTGAGCCAAAATGGAAATAGGATAAAGAATTGAGTGAGGTTAGAAGAGTAGAACCAGAATTTAGCAGTAACATAATTACATTATTTCCACCTGTGGTCATCTGGTTCTAAGTATGATTTGTAGCAAAATGGGTTAAGAACCACACAGGGCAAATCATTTTCATTACTAGACCATGGATCCAGTTTTTAGGTCCATTGACACTATTCCCAAGTGCATTGGCAATTGCAGCTTGGTTAGTACAAGATTAGCCACATTAGGCAATTGGAGTTCAGTAAAGCTGGCGGGCCAAGGCCATGTGTATACCTGAGAGACAGAAAAGACAGGAACAGGGGTGGGGGGTGGGAAGGAAGAACAATGCCAGAAGTCACAGGCCCGTATGTTCCTTTATCTCCAGACCACACTTTACTGACTACTACATCTACAACTCTTCTTACTATAATTATCCGATAATCTCTATTTTCCTGTCTTATACATAGACTTCCTTTTAATTCAACAATACTCAGAATGTATAATTTTTCCATGTAAAAATGCTCATCTATATTTATCTTCACAATACTCAGATGTGAAAAGGCAGATACTGTTATTACTATTTTACAGATGGAGAGACTGAGACATGAGAATCTAAGTAATGTTGCAATGTAATAAGGTAGGTAATAAGGTAATAAGTGGTGGAACAAAGCCCAGAATCTGGGCTTCCTGATTGCAACTCAAAGTTTCTTCTGTTAGACCTACTGTACCATTCAGTAATGTAGGCATAATTTTATGGCTAACAACATTGCAAGGATTACCGTCTCTAAAATAGTGCTTCTGCCCTTCACAGGAAACTACACGCTTCTGGATGGCTGTAAGCACAATGCCATCAGTTAGGGGTACGTGACCTTGATTTTAAAACTGTGCAGCTGAGTTAATCTCACTGGCTTTCTATTCCTATTTAGCCTGTAGCAGTAAGAGGTTTAGAGTAGCTTTCTGAGGGCATATGTTAACCTCAAGTTTGAGTGATGCATGAGAGACTAAATCCAGAGAAAACTTACATGAAAACAACCTGAGAAAACACTGTAGACTGTTGTGAATCACAATGGGGAACAGCGGGTCTGGAGCTGGTGGTCAGATAGCAATTCCTACACAAGAGACCTATGTGTGGTACAGAACTTTTATGATGGAATATCCATCCGGCTTGCAAACACTACATGAATTTAAGACACTTTTGGGTCTGCAGGGTCTGAATCAAAAGGCCAATCACCATGTTAATCAAGTTTACAATACCTTTGACATGAACAAGGTAAGAAATTTTACTTCTCATTTGGTCTGAAAATGCTGTGGTTCTGCATTATTTCCTCTTTTTTTCTTATAAAATAGCCTTAGGTAAAATATGTGCATCCCACTGAACAGAGAGGTCTTCAGACATCCCACAGCTTGTAGGTAAGTGAGTCATTAAACACATTTAGCACTGACGGCGTGAAAATAATTGGGAACTGGCCTCTCTGCTCTTGGAAATGTTCTGCATGTAGGGAGTTATTTTAAAACCAAATTAAATCTCGGCATGGAATTCTAATGCTATCGTTTAAATAAATCTAATAAGTGCAGATTGATTTACAAAGACTGTTTTCAAAGTATTTAATGCATTGGTGACATTTTATAGAAAAGCAAATTACAGGAATCTGCTTTTAAAAGTGGGATTGCATCTAGATTGGCAGATAAAAATGAACACAAATTAGCTAACATGTCTGTACTCAAATCAAAAGTTAGAATGCTTTATAATACTTTTTTTTCATATCTGACCAATTTAGTTTGTGGAAAATCAAAACAACTTATGGTTTTAAATTCAGACCAATTTTAGTTTCTAAAGATTGTT